GTGTGGCTGAGTGTGGGGTGTGGGTATGGGTGTGAGTGTGCGTATGTGGGTGAAGGTGTGGGTGTGCGTACGCGGATGAGGGTGTGGGTGTGCGTACGTGGGTGAAAGTGTGGGTGTGGGTATGGGTGTGAGTGTGCGTATGTGGGTGAAGGTGTGGGTGTGGGTGTGCGTATGTGGGTGAAAGTGTGGGTGTGCTTACGTGGATGAGGGTGTGGGTGTGCGTATATGGGTGAGGGTGTGGGTGTAAATCTTCTCTTCAACAGCACCCACACCTACAGCAACATCGCACACACCCACAGCAACACCGCGCACACTACCCACACCCTTTCTTTTTTTCACCACAATACTCGATGTTATCTTAAGTTTTGTTTATTAAAACATAATATATCCTTCAAACTATTTGCAGACCTTTTTGATGAATGAATTTAATATTCATGGTGTGGGTGTGGGTGGGTGGGTATATGTGTCGATATGGGTGTGGATAATATTGAGAAGAACACTAACACCCACACCCATCCACACCCACACCTACCACATCACACATTCCACACCCACACCCCACCCACACCCTCTCTCTAGACTTTCCACCAGATGATGAACCTATCTTTGGGTTTTTTCAGCCTGTTTCACAGTTAAATATCATAGGAATTACACTGAAAGCTTCTTTTTCTACTAAAAAGAGTTTCGTTCGTGTTTAATAAAACAAGCTTACTCTTGTATAAGTAATATGTTATTACAGAAAAATAAGATCACACTCTACGAGAAAAGCAGAAGCTTAGTGATGGCGAGGGAAGTGTTGAGAGGTAAGAGGTGTAGGTGCAAGAAGTATCATTCTTTCAATTTAAACATTAAACGAATGTCATTGATCGTTCATAATCCAACAGTAAATATCAATAATTGTAATACAGATTGTAATGAGAAGAGCTGCCTCGTAGTGTAGGTTTCGCATTTGAATCCGGAGGATAAGCTCGATACTGTTGAGCAAACTTTCGTGAACTGGCTGCCATTTTTTCAATGGGTAGAGGTTCTTTGATCTTCAAGAACAAAGCAATTAATATCTCGCGATAATTACTAACTGTGCTGAATTGGTAATAGACACTCTCATTGCCACGCTTCAAGTCGTCCCGATTGATTGAGCCGGAAAAATAAATGCCCAACTTGAAGAACGGCGCAATCCTTCTGAAGTACGCATCTTCGATTAATTCTTTTTTTAGCCTTTCTCGTTGTTTGTTATCTATCGATTCGCAACGTGTTATAATTAAGCACGAATTCTTTGCTGTTTCAGGACCGAGATAATGGATCAATAATTCGAGTGACTTAATATCTTCGTGATTGATCCCAGCTATAAGTGAAACGCAAAAACAGATTGCATGAAACTTTGTGATTTCCATATTAATGCAAAATCCAATTGTTTTTAAGATCGTGTCATTATCACGAATATCAACTTCATTGTTGCTGTGTTCAAAAAGACCAGGTGTATCAATAATGTTGAGTACAATATCATCTTGTTGCAAATGAAATGCTTGAAAATGAGGATCTTTCGTACCCAATTTGAGCGTCAACTCATTAGGTACAGTCGAAGGATTGACTAACAATGATTTAATAGTTGATTTGCCAGTACGCGTTCGTCCAGTTAGCAAGGTATTTTTATGCTCAACTTTCCTCATTGGGTATTTGCCATAAATTTTAAAATCATCTGCCAAGTTAGCCAAAATTTTCTCACCTTTATCTGTATTATCGATAATAGCATATTTCGCACGAATTGAAGATGGGTAGTACTAGAAGAGGCATAAATTAGAAAAAATAAGCGATTTCTCTCAGACTATGTACAGATATCACTATGAGAATCCATAAAAAATCATATACATATAAAGAAAAAGGAATATTCTCATACATACAACCAATGAAAACAGATCTCAGTTTTCAATACTTCAAGAATTCCGACACATTCACTATTTTCTGAGCCACTTAGAACAGGGCGCATCTTGAGGGTGTGGGTGTGAGTGTGGATGTGGGTGGGTATAGATGTGGGTGTTGTTTTCTTTTAAGTCACACTCCACATCCACACCCCAAAGTGGTTTTTTCTCCCGATGAATTTGAATACTTTCTAATACTGAATTCGAATTTGTATAGAAAATACTCTACAGCCAGTTAGAGTTGGAACTGAAAGTCTAAGCGCTCCCACCGGTATATCAGTATGTCCCGTTGATTCTTACGATTACCGCGAAATACCCACGATACTGCGAGCAAACATGTTACATGAGTGGTGAATATTGTTTTATACCGGTAGCTGTTTTGTGAAATGCGATCTGAAAGGAGTGTTGAAGTGTACAGGGTAGATTCTTAGACTCACTTTCCCCGCTTCCTCCCACAGACGTGACAGACATTTTAACTAATTAATTGACTAATTAGTATATAATTAAAATTTTGTGAATTACTAATTAATTACTCCATGACAGACGTGATAGAAAATCTCAAAATTCTCTAGCAACGCATCACACATATGGCAGACGCTACTCAGAATCACGGATCACGACATAAGTTGTTAATATATGTTCGCAGACTGTATGCCAGTAATGGTCTATTGCTATATACGAATCACTTTCTAATCACAATTATGGAGTATAAAGCCAAAAAAAGGTGAAGACCACAGCAACCACATCATGTTTCGAATTTTAATCTCGCAGGTATCGCATTAACAGCCTTTTCTTCTATTTCGATCATCTGATTATTTAAATTAAAAGTAACTTTTATTGTATAGCATTTTTTCTTATATTTAGGTTGGCTGTGCATCAAAATGAGCAGTTCGTGTTCTTTCATGAAAACCACTTTTTTGTATCATTGGGATCCTCGAATCATCTCAATGAACACTAAGTATTATTTAATATAACAAAATCTCTTTTGCACTATTTATTGCGAATAGACAGAAATAAATGATCTCTCTCGTGATTCACGAGGCGCGTGTATCAGCACGATGGCATACATGTCGAAACGAAATCATTGTCTCAGATACAAATACTACGCATCCATCGAATTAGATGGCTGAATTTTTTTAGGGATAAGGCGTCATTCAAACTTTCTTTTTCAGACAGATTAGGTTAGCAAATGTTATTATTAAGTATTATTTTTCGCGTCATGCAAGAAATTTCAGATAGATTTGCTATCAAGTAAAAAAATACATATGTAGCATTTCGTAGATAATTTTCAGTTGTTAAACGGAAGAATAATAAGAGCGGCTAAAAACAATCTTTATGAATGGATTTATACTGATGTACACAGATCAAATTTTCAAAACTAGCCAGTTTAAATTATAATCTTTACGCCCTATAAACAAAATACTTAATCGTAGAATTTAGGATATTAAAACATCAACTTTCTTGCAAAAGTCAGAGTTTCTGTTAAAGTTGAAGTGTTCTCCTTTGGTTATAAGATGGAATAAAAGGAATAATAATAGTTCGCATAGGCTTATCGCCCGTTGGGACCAGCCACTATCGGAGTCCACATGCAGCCGGGTTCTTTCGTGTTTTTCATTTTTACAGACGATGGTATCTGCCTCCTTCCGTCCAATGCTCTCCCATTCATGTTGTTTAGGTTACTGATCAACATAGTTATCCCGTTTTCATAATATCTATGTTGGAATTATTTTTTTACTCTGCATACTGACAAATGATGTAGTCTATACACTATCAAGTGAGTCATTCGAGACAAGTAGTTGTTAATGACTTGTCCATGGTCATTCCATGTATGGCTATACTGAGGTTTGAACACAGTACCTTGTGGGCACATGTCGAACAACGTAACTACTCAATCATGTCGGCTAAAAGGATCATAAACATTCCTTTCTACAGTAATATAGTAGTAGTACAGCTGCCTGGAAAGCAGAACATGCATAGTTCGATTCCGTGCGAAGGGAGATTATTCTTTTTTACCGTCCTGTTGTCGCAGCATCACACTGCTGTCTTGATGGTAAAATTGATATTTTGAAGAATAATAAAAGATTAAGGAAGAGAAAAGAGACTGATAGTTTCATATTTGAAAACTCAAAGCTTTGTAATCGTTGGTTTCTAAACTAACTAATTTTAGAAAACTGGTTTATGTGAGTTAATATAGAATCATTGGTCAAGTTTGTTTCCGCTCGCTCTTATTATTCTTCTGTTCAATAACTGAAAATTATCTATGAAATGCTACACTTGTATTGTTTTTTTTTTAGTTGACAGTAAATCTATCTCAAATTTCTTTGATAGCACGAACAATAATATTTAACAATAATACTTGCTAACTTTATCAGTATGAAAAAGAAAATTTGAATGTTATTCTATCTCTCAAAATAATTCAGTCATCTAATTCAAAGAATGTGTAGGCATTAAATTAGAATGGATGGAAAAATGCCGAAAAGAAAAATATCGAAAGGAAAAATGTCGAAAAAATATATCGAAGGAAAAATATCGAAAAGAAATAGGCAGAAAAGAAAAAAGTCGAAACGTCGAAATATCGAAAAGAAAAAGACAGAAAAGAAAAAGTCGAAACGTCGAAATGTCGAAAAGAAAAATGTAGAAAAAAACAGAAAGGAAAATTCATGAAACGAAACATATTGAAACTTATGACGTTAAGAGGTCGCTCGGCTCCAATCATTTATTCATTCTTCATTTGGTTGGTCAATGCTTCTGCTGATGTCCATCTCTATTAGTACAGTATCTATTTCTCTATACACATAGTGTTGAACGAGTTACATTCCATTGTTCCTAATTTCTTTCCTACTAATACCTATACATTACTGCTTCTATGATCCGTTTCTGAGTTATAGCTCATTATTAACAAACAGAATGAATTATGCAGACTTATTTAATTAAAGAATGATTTTAATACATTTTATATTATTTTGCTTGATTTACAACTTGGGTAACATTAGAATAGTTATTTTCATTGTATGTGTATCTGTAGATAATATGACTTCCTCTTCAAACACGATGTCTTTTATTCTATCACAAAAAGGAAAACCAATGCTTGTTATTGACAATTATGTATTTCAATTGAATAAAACAACCACCACAACGAAGTATTATCGATGCGAGCATCGAGAATGTGGTGCAACAGTACATACAGACATAAATGATGTTCTTTTAAAAACTAAAGGTGATCATTGTCATGTAATTGAACCAGAAAAAAATAAAATTCGTATTTTCAAACAAGTCGTGAAAGAACGTGCTATTAATGAAAGTACTCCTATACCAAAGATTTATGAAGAAGAATCAGCAAAAATGATTTTGTCACCAGCAACAATTGCTATTTTACCTTCTCAACGAGAAATGAGTATGTGAAAAATCATCTTTATTTAATTTAAAGAATTTTCTTTAGGTAGTTCATTAAACAAGACACGACGTCTTGAAACACCACGTATTCCTGATTCGCAAATTTTCGATATTCCGGACATATATACGAAAACCTTAAAAAATAAAGAATTTCTTTGTGTCGATAAAATGATAAAAAGAAAAACGCGTATTTTATTGTTTGCTTCAAATGAGCAATTAAAATTGCTATTTGAAAACCCGATTGTCTTCATGGATGGCACTTTTAGTGCCTGTCCAAAGGTTTTCGATCAAGTATTCACTATACATTCGATAAAATATGAACAATGTTAGGATTTATTCGCTCAATAAACATGCAATGTTCATCAATCTTTTTTTTTTTGTGTAGCTTTCATGTGTGTGATTGGACTATTACCTGATAGAAAAAAGTTCACTTATAAATTTGTATTTGAAGAACTAAAAGGTTTAGCTATTGGTATGAATCAAATTTTTGATCCATCTACAATAATATCTGATTTTGAACAAGGTTTAGGTGAAGCTATTAGTAGTGAAGTAATTTTATCTGAATTTAATTAAAATGGTTTCTTGATTTATGATTTCATTTAGTTTCCAAATAGCAACCATATAGGTTGTTATTTTCACTTTACGCAAGCTGTATATCGTCATATACAGCAATTTGGTTTATCAAGTGCTTATATTAATGATGAAAATATTCGTATGATATGTAGGAAGCTTATGGCTCTTGCATTACTTCCATCTTCCGTGGTATTAAAAAGTTTTGAGGATCTTTATGAAAGTGTTCTTTTAGCATCTTCATCAGAACTTGGTTCATTGAGACCTCTATTTGATTATTTTGAAAACTATTGGATTAAAAGAATAGATATTAATAAATGGAATGTTTATGGAATTCGAATTAGAACGAACAATAATGCAGAAGGTATGCAACATTAAATGATACTTCACGACTTTCATGATCCATGTATACTTTTAGGATTTCATAATCGTTTAAATTTACGTATTGCAAAATATCATCCGAATATATGGACTTTTATTAGGTGCATACAAGGAGAAGAAAACAGATTCAATCATGTGCTGATTCAAATGATAGGTGGTCTTGCAGCCAGATCAAAAACAGCTGCAACAAATGCTATACAACAACGAATTGATACTTTATATTTGCGTTATCAAAATAATGATATCACTGTTGATGAACTCTTAAATGGCTTGTCTTATGTTGTCGCGAAAAATACTACATCGAAAAGAAAAAAATGATTGACTATTTTCATTTATTACTCGTATATTTCATTAATTTATTTACAATGTTAATCATTCTATTCATGATCGTCTTGTTGCAGCTTTTTATCCAATAAAATTTTTTATCATTGGTCAAGATGCTTGTGTTAATCATTTTTTATCCTCTTAACATTTCTCTTTCGACATTTTTCTTGTCGAGATTATTTCTATTCGATATTTTTCTTTCGGCATTTTTCTTTCGAGATTTTCTTTTTCGTTCTTTTTCTCTTCGCTTTTCTTCCTTTCTGTCTTTTTCTTTTCTGTCTTTTTCTTTTCTATATTTTTCCTTCGACATTTCATCATTCGACATTTTTTCTTTCTGCCTTTTTCCACCATACCTTAAATTACATTTAACGACGTACTATGTAGAAGGCACTCTGTGTTTGAATAATCGCGATTTTTTATGAAGATCGCGAAGAAAATTGGCAAAAATCGTAATGTTATGTGATCTAATCGTGATTGAGTCTCACGATAATCGGACTAATAAATCCCGATAAAATCGGTGACTTTTTTACAATTTGGATGGCATGGATTATTCCAATCGTTAGAGCTCTTTTTCGAAAATTTTTAGTAATTGTTGATTATTATGCGTGAAAGATTTTCAAAAAAGTACTACGGCTGCTGGAAGAAACTAGATACGTCAAAAAACAAAGCTTTTACGAAAAGATACAGCAATTATCTCATAGAATCTCATCGAAAAAATGTTTAAATACGTTTTGTTCCAAAATAACTTTCGAAAAAGTTTTGGCCCATTCAGAGCTCTGTTTCATAAAAATTGTCACATGGAAATAGCTAACGTTTATCGCACTCTCTACCTATAGATGCAGTAGTTTAAGTAGTGACGTATTGTAATATGTATTGTTCGTAAAACAGAATTCATTACAACTCACTTTTGATAACTACATAATCATGTTACATAATTTTAACATTCGGTGTATCATCATTCACGCGGATCCTGGTGAACGTGCGTATTTTCAATAGACGTTAGACTATTCGCCGCGAAAAAAGATGATATCTTCTCGTTAGTTTCCTTCAGTCTTCTCAGAAATATCTCGGCGAAAAACTCGATCCTCTTCTCTGTTCTAAATTTTTGAAACTAATTAGTCATTTTTCATACAAAGAAAATGGAACTGCCAGTGAAAATCTAAGACTTATTTCCCTCACGTAGAGGAGAAGTACAACATTGCATTGACCACGACATCTTCAATTGCGCACTAAGCTAAACATTCTAATATTTGTTAGATCACATAGTAATTGAATATCGAGAAATAAGTTGAAAATATCGAAATCTACTCCAATGTATTTCCTTTGCCATTTTTGTAAATTTGATCGCCTCGAAAAACAAACTATGCCATTTTGTAGAGCAAGTCGCGTTCTATCTTTTCCATTATTTCATTTATTCGGAAAATTCCAAAAGTTATATTTTTTTCAATTAAAATATAAGCCGCTTTTCACTATTCTGAAACACTCATAAGTGGAGGGTCACTTGACTTTTCGCCTTCTTCTATTCATTCCAAAATAATTTTAGAATTCAAAGCAATATTATTCTAGATACTACGTTTAAAGCTGAATAAAATTAGCCTTGTAAGAAAGTTGCGCGATTAAGAAATTATGCTTAATAAACACTTAGAAAAAAGAATGAAAAAACATCCAAAAATCATCTGTAAAATTTTATACGACAAAAAAGCACAAAAAGTTCACTTTTGGAAATCATAGATGCCAAGGTATTTTCCGCAACAAAAATAGATCAAAATTATCATCTCGCTGAGCTCTACAAATGCTGAAATTTTCACGTTGATAGGACGTACTTTTCTATAACACGGTAGAAATCCCATGGAAACACCTATATACTATCTATGAAAAAGGGTCTGTGTCTTGATAGTTCTATTATCTCGGAGAGATTTTGTTCAAGACTTCTAAAAAATTTTATGCAAGCTAGTCTAGCTGAGGCCTTCATGTGGGCAAAATTTCAAGTCAAAATTCGAAACCATAGCGTTGCTGCAGAAGTGGCGTGCTATAGCGAATATTCATTAAAAACTTGATATCTCACCAGGAATACTCTATGGACACGAACCATTTTAGGGTTTTCTTAGTCTCACTCAAGCCTACTTGTAGCCAAAATATGAGCTCGAACGGCGTCCGACACTTGGATATGTTCCCTCGTAAGATTATTTACTATTTGAAGAATGAATAAATAATTCTAAATTTTATACTATTTAATAGTAGATTTATAAGGGCGAACAAATTCATATAAGTAATGCAGAAATATTATATCATAACACTCTTTATCATAAAAGAAAATAATTTTAGTAACATCTATTATTATTAATTATATGCTGAAGATTCTGATAAGATATTTAAGAAAGTCTTAAGATAATTGCGACTATTTCCTAGTAAAAGGTGGAACTGATCAGCGAATAAAATAATCATGTCCCTTATTTTTATACTTGAAGAGCTAAACGGTTCTCCAGAAACATGTAAAGATACACATAAGTAAAAGATAAAATTATAATTAATTCATTTTTCAGACAAATGTACAAACACTCACAAACAATTTATTCTGTTTATTATTCATTGTTACTATCAAATACGAAAAACTACATGCAATCTTCAACTCATTAGCTGCTTTTTTCTCCTTAGACGAATCATACTTAGAAAGAATCCAATTATTCAAGAAATTTGACCATACACGTATTCAAAAAAAAACTATGGGAAATTTTGTGCAGCTCTGTTTACGAGAGCTGAAGAATTTAATACTTTGTAATCTTTTTAGTAAATTATTGCGTGAAAATCGTAATCTTTTTAGAGATTTGATGTAATATGTGTACATTATATATAAAAACTGTAAAATTTTTGCTAATTCCATTTATTTCAAATAACTAATTCAATCAACTGTTTATTATTATCATGAGATGACCACCCAGGCGAGCAAAAAATAAGGAGTGACGCCCGACATGACTAGTCTAAAGTGTCCGTAGTACCCGTCTGGACTAGTCTAAAATGTCTGCACTGCCGTTTGGACTAGTCTGAAATGATTTGCAGCAAGTCAGGACTAGTCGTCTTCACGAGGGACGTCTTGCATCTAAAATAGACTAGTCCAAAACATGCTCTAATCTTGTCATGGCTAGTCCGTTTTGTATGTGCATACTGTCCAGACGCGTCAACTTGAAGGCAAAAACTAGAAGAAACGGAGGCGATAGGTGGATTCGAACATTCAAGCCGACAATATTGGATACCTGACTAGTCTGAACTGTTTTCAATGAGTAACGCGGACTAGTATGAAGAGTCATCTATATTGGTTATGACTAGTCGTTTTCGAGAAAGTAATGCTAATTCTGGTCCAGGCTAGTCTATCCTTCCAAACAGTCTTTATTGCTTGGACTTAATCATTCGGACAATTCGTTTTGACTAGTTTGTATTGGGACTAGAACGATGTATCTAATGAGAGTTGGCTATTTATGTCCTTTTAAATTTTTAAATTGTAATAACAATCAAGAATAATTTTATTCGAAAAATTAATTTTAATGCATTGATATAAGGATATTATTTTATTTCAATATAAAACCTAATGATTTGAATTTAAAAATGGATTCAAACGGTGGAATCATAGTTCATTTTCAAATTTAAATAGGAAATATTTTAAATTAAGATAAACATAAACCATTAGATGAAAAGCAAGATCTTTTTTTGAAATGTATATTATTATTTTGATTTTGATTTGAATTTTAATTGTTTGTTCCAATAGGAAATAATTTTTTCTATATGTCGATAATCAAAAAAAATTCTGTTGAAGGAAATTAAAAAAATTCTGAATTAATTTTGCTTAGCTTTATTTAACTAATTTTCGATTTTATTACAAGTAGTTTCTATAAATATTAAAACTTGAGAAAACGCTGAGTCAAACTGTAGTAATTAGTGTCTTCAGATGTGTATTGACATGTAAAAGTTGATCACTAGATCATATGGCTCAATCGGGTAGACGACGAGTAAGTAACACAAGGTATGCATGTACGAATCTAACTTTCTGCACATATTTCTATCATTTAGACTAGTCCGAACTAGACCGCTACATAAGACTGAAACCTAATAGATGTCGCGTCACAGGCGCTCTGCCTTTTTTAATTTAAAATCTATTTTCGGACGGGATGCCCAGACGGGGTTAAAGATTCCAACCCATTTTGGACTAGTCATGTAGTAGGACTTTTTGAGAAAAAGACTAGACATGACGCATAGTCACGACTAGAAAAATGACTAGTCTTTTTACCCGTCCTTTGCTCGCCTGGGCATTTAATATTGATAAAGAATAGAATTCAACTTTTTTTGCTCTCGGCCAGAAATATCGTCATTTGCACTTTTAACCTCATCCATTTTGAATAGTAACCTATATGGTTTTTTTTGTTGCATTGTAAAAAAAGCAAGTGTTTCTATTTTATGAAGACGAAAAAACAATCTTTATCATTAATTAATTTTCTTTCTGTTTACTTTTATAAGTAACTCAGTGAATAGTAATATTATCGTAACAAAAATCGTTTTAAAAAGACGTTCATATCTTCTTAGTCATGTTAATTAGAAATGTGTAAAGAAAGAAAACTATCATTATAGGCACCTCCCATTGTTTCAGCTCATGTACTCCCAAGTTTACAGTATTTCTCATAACATTACAATAACTGAAAATAGATAATCAACTTGTTTATAAGGAAAAAACATTGAACTTCGCATTTTAACATTGAAGAGGCTATGGTTATAAGTCTTATTTATCGACCAAAGTTAATTATCAAATATGTGATATTATTTCTTCCTATTTCGAAACGGAACATTAAATAACGTTTTTCTTTTTAATGTGCGCTTATTTTTATCTTTTTCCATGACCCAAAGGAAAAGAACGAGTTGATTTGGTTGACTGACTTATCATTGTATTCTGAACTAATTCATGTGATTCATTTTCACTTATGTTAAAGTATTTCTTTTTATAATGTAAACTTTAATTTACTATGTGTAAAAAAAAGAGCACAATTCATTTAATTTGTTAATTAGTATCAAAATACTCAAAAGGAATCTTTCTACCAAAGACTAACATGTACTCATATTAAGTTCATATATTTGTTCTTTATATATCTGATGTCGTAATAAAAAAATAAAAGCAAGTCATTAATGACTCATGTAATTACGAAATTGTTTCTCTTGTCTATGTCGTCCACTAAATTACAATGAAATCAGAAAAAATACAATCTTTTTATTTTTCTTTTCTTCTACCTTCTTAAATCTATGAAGAAGACTATATAAATAAAGTGCACTGTAGCATTATCTAATATACAACGAATAATCCTAATAAGATGGCTAAATTCGTTATTCTTATTGCTCTTGTAAGTTATTTTGCTGCATTCTGATAGTAAAATCTTGATTATTTGTTGAGTTTAGGTATATTTGGGATTAGTCTCAGCTCGTGGTTTCGGAGGCCATGCGGGACATGCAAGCCATACAGGGCATGCAAGCGATGCTGAGCATATCATCCATGGAGGACCTGTAGACGATAGTGGACAGGCAGGTGTTAATATATTCCATGACTACACGTTAGTGCCTGACACCAGTACAATTCGTAGCAATGAATTAGCTGTGGCCAGTTCGTCGTACGATCAATTCGTTGCGATCAAATCATCGTCGAATAGTTTCTTTCGTTCTGTTCGTTGCGAAACATTTTCTTTCACGCTTTTCATCGCGAACAATTTTGTTGTGATGAATATGTTTATATGGCTTTTAATTAATTTTTTGGATGACTAATGCGATTTAAAAGACACAATGTTAGATCTATCTATTAAATTCGTTCTCTTTCTTTTATTTATCTATTTACGTGCTGATGTTCGTGTGCACTTCTTTATTATATCAATAATACCTTTTTACTATATCATATATGTATATATAAGAAGAACAGAAAGAAAACAATATACCAATAGAGAAGATCAAAGAGATGAAATAAGGTAGAGGATGATATGAAAGAAATGATTGCGATAACCAACGACATCACTCTAACATACACACCTATTCGAAAAAAAATGTGTCCTATCAGCATTTTTAATATGTCAGGAAGAGTTGAAATATAGAAGGTGAAGGAAAGAAAAGAAAAATTATAGCGATAACAGAATATAAATCTTCAGTTAATAAGATAACCCATAATGTAACGAAAAGGAAAGAAAATAACGAAATATAACAAGGCAACAAAAGAAACAAAAAAAAATATCACGTGAAATAAAAAAATATAATGTTTTCATAGATATGTGTCATAGGAAAAAATATAACGATAAACTAGATATACGGAATGAACAATAGATAACGGTTTGACTAGACATAGATATATGAAAGAGAGAAAGAAGAAAAAAAAATGTGAACGACTAGATGCATAATATTTAATATTATATCTGAATCAGTTCAATTTGTTCGTGGATCATGATAATGATGTATATATCGATCATCTTTATTAGATGATCTATGTATATGCTTATACTGTTGATAATGTTCACGGGTAAATAAATGTTTAAGTTTTTCTTCATATGTCGACAATAACTTTTCGTTTTTTATTCCAATATATAGAGTTGTTTGATTTGTTCTTGATGGTTTGACGGTGTTGATGGCACAAAATTGAATAGAATATTGTCGAAGAATTGTTTTAATGTTTGTAATGGTAAATCGATGATCAATATTGTGTTTTATAATTTTATGTCGATAATATTTTTTTCGTTGTTTAAGTGTACAGGTTCGATTGTGAATTTTCTTTCGTTGTTCTTTATTTAATGGATTATATTGTTCTTTATTATTAGCAGGAGAATTATTAGAAACAATTGGTGTCGGTTGTTGTTCACGTTGAAATTCATGGTCTTCGTCATCAGATGATATAAATTCGATTTGATTAGAATTATTATATGTTGTTTCTTTGATTGATGTTGTTATAGTTGATATTGTTCGGGTTGATTGTTGTACTAGTTTATCAGGTTCATTATCATCTGATGATATTTTTTCTAAATCTGTAATATTATTATTGTTATAAATTGTAGTAGAAGTACTATTATTAATTGTTGTTGTTGATATAGCTGGTAATATTTTGTTTTGTTTCTTAACTAAATCTAATTTAATAAGAATACGTTGCATAGATAAACAATCATATATGGCATATTGAGTTAATTTCCTACGATCCTCTTTTTCATGAATGTTCATTTGAAATAATAGAGGATCCAAACCAATATGAAATGATGAAATTGTTAATCGTTTATTCAACCATTCATGTAATGTATATGCAACGGCATCCTGTAATGACCATGTTTCAGTAGCTTTTTTCCCAATACATTCTTTACATAAGCATTGTGTATGTGTATCAGATAAAGATGTTGACCTATGTGGATGTTGTTGTTGCCATGTCTGTTGAAATGTATGTTGTAGATTAATAAAGTTTTTTGAAATAATTTGTTCTTCAGAAAATAAATTGTACATCGTGAAAGGAAATAATTCATCTTCTGTTCCCCAGATGTACACTTTGCTATTGCCACTAAAAATTATATTAAATATATCTTTAATTAATTGAAATGTTACTTCATGTTTACGAGGTAAATGACACATTTCAAATATAAGAATTACAGAAAAAGTACATGGTAATAAAATTTGAACTTGAATTAAAACCGGTTTATTTTTTTTTATATATAGTAATTGATTCAGTATCTAACTATCAACGACAAAATTAACTGTACACTTGGTTTTTGGTGTAAAATATAGAGTTTATAGTTAGAAGAAATTTTCTTGGATATATATGAATAGTACAAGTATAGATGTTTATAATACAAATAAAAA